ACCATTAGACACCGGTCGAGTTAGGATATGAGTTCATAACTAACAAGTCACCACTTGAAAGAATATTATTTGCTGCGCTTAATATAAAAAATAATTGAATATTTAATTTGATACTATTGAATACAAATTTTTTAATTTATTTTGTCTCTTATATTTATTTATTTTTTAAAGGTACTCTTCATATGGTGATTGTACGTATTAAAAATTCTATGATACAGTGATTTCAGTGTACATAATTAATAAGAGTATTTCAGAGAGAACAATATTTATTTATTACAAGTACTAACTTAACTAATCTTTTGATATTTAAAAAGTTAGATAATAATGCAAGCTTCAAATTAAAAATTCCGAAAGAGGTATATTTTTCTTATATTTTTTAAGGCTTATATGTTGTTTTTATAACATCATAATTATAATTTTCTCCTAATATTAAACCAACAGCTTCCGTTAATAATCAAATCACCTGAAAAGAAATCAAGACAGAAAATCGGCACACACACACACACATGACACATCCCCATGCATCCTCAATTCTATCGTGTATGAACAGTACTCCATCCGATTTTAAATATATATTTATTTTGTAATGTAATTTACAGTACAAAATAGGTTTATTTAGGACTTATTTTGTAATATAATTTATAGTACAAAATAGGTTTTATATTTAGAATCGGAAGAGTATCATAATATCATCCATTCAAAATTAAAAGTCACCACCCCCAGTTCAATACGGAGAAGACCTTGAACAACACACTTGGAGTTGGAATTTAGGGGGTGTTTGGATAGAAACCAAACCATGGTTTCAGAAGTGCTTTTACGGATTACGAAATAAATATGTGGAGGAGATTATCTCGTTTTGCGGAAAAGTGTTTCTGAAACCATGGTTTTGGGTTTCCCAAACACTCCCTTAGAATAGAATACTGACGCAGATGTTGGTGGCCGGATAGAAAGTCAGTAACATTCTAGAGGGTTAGGTGAGTTCAAAACCTATGCAAAAATGAATGATAGATATTGAGATAGACAACTAAGCCAACAAGAAAATCCATGGGAACATCGTTAAGGTTTACCAAATTGAGGCTGCGTTGGCATTGGATGTCAAAATGAGGGAAAAGGGCATGGAAGTGGATGGCAAAGGCAGTGCCTTTTTTGGAGATAGCAATTATGACGATGTGAATGTTCACCAAATTGAGCTCCCCCTTCCCTCCTATCAATTTTACTTGACCATATGAAAATCCCACGTTAATTAATTGTCCTCCCAACTAACCAATAATTAATGGCGCAGTTGACGGGTTATTACGAGAAATTGATTATTCTTATTATTATTATTATTAAAATTACCCACTTCGATTCTTAATATCACAATTATTTAATTAATCTGTGTTAGAGATAAATAACCAAATAAATTATAACAAATGTAACATAATTCCCATTAAATATCTCAGCGTAATGTTAATATATATATATTAGTTTATAAGTTAGACAAATTAAATTCATAAAACAACAAATATACGAGATAAAATAGATCGATTAATTTTAAATTTTTAATTTGTATTTCATAACTTCTGCTTTTATAATGGAAAAAATTGCTGTTCATATTGCGGTGGGGTTAAAAAATGATAAAATGTTGGGTGTGGTGGCAAAGATGATGCAATTGTCATATATATATATATATATATATATATAACATGTAAGTGATTGACCACGGTGCTTCTTCTTAATCAACTCTTGTCCTTGGGAGAACCAAATTAAACGTGAAGCTTTCATCCTGAAATTTCGCATAAAGTTCCTCTCTAGTCTCGCGACTAGCAGGTCTCTCGCTCTTAATTGGGTGCTCAAAGACCTAAGCCACCTACTCTAACTTCTAAGTAAACTAATAGTATCTCCACTTTACCCACTGCATTAGCCCCTGATTCTCTTCTTAATTACCATCACGAATAACTACCTCTCAGCTCTTAAATTCCCAATTTTAAACAAACAACATTAAATTAGTGGATAAGTTTTTTTAATATGATTTGTCAACGTTTAATTGCACGGTCATCACTTAAATTCGCCAAGTCATATATTTTTTTTTGGGGTTAAACGTGACTAAGTATATTAACATTGAAAGACTAAAAATATGTTTTTATAAATTTAAAGTACTACATTGAAAGCCGATGCAAATTTAGAGGAACGTATTTACTTCAAATTTTATATTTTATGTTGAATATCAACAAGGATAATCTTCTATGAATTGTCCCTAAGGATAAAAAACACCGACAAAAAGAAAAACCAGCTAAGCCCAATAAGGCAAACATGACAAGGACAAAATAAATAAATAAAATCAATCTCATACAGGTGTTCTCGGTGAAGTAGCAAGGGTGTTACGGTGTTGATGGCGGTTAATAATTCTTTTCTTGATGTAATAAAAAAAATCTTATAAAATAAAAAATATTATTATATCACACTATAAACTGGATCTTATGTATTAGAACTGAAGTGGTACTGATTAAGTTAATCTCATGCTATTGTTATTGGCTTTAAAAATTAATATAGACGATTGGTTTGCTAACTTATTTTTAGTTATATATTTTTAATTTGTGGTAATATTGAATTTAAACGATCCCAACTTAATTTTCTCAGGGAATCAAATTTAATTTTTTAAAATGTGATTAACACACTGAACTGAGAATAAAATTCAACAAATACACATTAATTTTAATTTATTCAACGATTCAATTTTATTATAAAAACATGGAGAACACCTTACTACGTAACCTTGCTATAGAAATAGATAATTTATATTTGGGCAGTTAGATATACTTAAAGAAAAAGTACCTGGAAAATGTGAATGTGTGGGGTTTTATGTTTGATCATTTCATTGGCCAAAAAAAAAAATTTGATCATTTCATTATTAAATTAATTTATCATTAATATCTGTATTATTAAGATAGTTCTCTAGTATTTATAATCAGCGGGGTTAAGTCAAAGGAGGCATTGAATTAAGATGAGGAATTAGTGGGGAACGTATGAGCGCGTCTGACTAAAATGAACGTTCAAAGCAGGGAAAGTGGGAGTATCGTAGTAAAGTCGCGTGGCTCAAGTCTTCATCCGCGTCGCCTCCTGTTTGCGTGGCTGCCTACTTAGTACTTAGTCAACTTCCACTTCCCTCCCCCCCCCCCAAATCGTTTCACGCGCCCTCCCCATTCCCTTCCCTCGCATTTCCACAATTTCAGCCCAATTTTTACTCTCTTCCTTTAACTTTAATCACTCATCCAAGAGAGAGTGCGCGCGCGCGCGCGTGTATGGGGGGAGGGGGATTTTTTTTGAAAAAATTATAAAAAAAGACATTAGAATTACAAAAACGCAGATAAAAACTCTTAATAACTTTATTTTGGGTTTTGACAATAATAATATATCAAGGGTCTTTATCTGTGTTTTTGTAATTTCAAAGTCTTTTTTTGTAATTTCTCTTTCTTTTTTTTGGCAATTTGATTTGAGTTGCTCAATTATCTTGTTACTCTTTTACTATTTGTACTGGTTAATATAAGAATTAATTTAATATTTAATTTGGTTTTAAATATAAAATCTCAATTCATTTTGTCTCATATATTTATTTATTTTTTTCAAAATAATCTTTCTTGTAATTACACACATTAAAGGTTTATCAAATAGTAGTTTTAACTAGCACATATGATTAGAAAGCGTATTTTAGGAAATATATTACTCCGTTCCTTATTATAAGATCCTTTTAACTAAATTGTGTGGTTTAAGAAAATAATTAAAATTGGTTAAAAGCAATTAATATGTAGCAAATATAATTATTTTCCAAATATACCCCTATATATAAATGGGCAAACATGAAAGAGTAATAGTGAGATAAATAAATAAAGAGAATGTATTAAATGCATTAAACTATGGGTAAAATAGATAATAATACATTAAAGTTCAGACAAACTCAAAAGGAATTTTATAAAAAGAGACAAACCTATTCAAAAAATTAGATCTTATAATAAGAGATAGAGAGAGAATATATAAAACACGTATTTGTTACAAATACTAACTTAACTAATTTCTACTAAAATTGGTCAATTAACTCTTATGTTAAGGACCAGAGGTGGTATAAGGGATAGTTTAACTTTTAATTTGGTTCTAAATATAAGATTTTAATCCACTTTAACTACTATATTTATTCATTTTTTAAAGAACGTCCTTGTAATAATTGCAAAGTTAAATGTTATCAAGTAATGGTTCTAATCGATATATATGATTAGTAAGGATATTTTAAGAAAGACAACGCTAACTAATTTAACTGATTTACTCAAATTACTTAATTAATTTTTATATTAACTATCAGACATTGTGTTAATTGTCAAAGGTGAAAAAACAAGTTAAAGGCACACCCATATAACCATATTGTCGCTTTGTCTGTATTAGTTCAAGTGCAGTTTTGTATGTCTCATATTTATCCTTTTGATCTGGTCAAAAGTAGAATGTACAGTCGACTCGACTCACATGAACAAAAGATTCGATTTTGGGATGTGGGTGGTACCAAAAATCTTAAAATTTTACTTCTTTTGCATACTTATTTCCTTTGTATACAATTTTTTTTTATTCGATCAAGTTTGTACACAAATTTTAACTGACGTATACATCACAAATATGCTTCGTATGTCCGAATTATATATGCGCACGTATTTATGTGTAATAGTACCATGTAATTATAGTTAAAAATGAACAAGACACAACTCAAAAGCGAATATCTTACAATAATAAAATGCAACCATATAAAAAAAAAATTGAAAAGCCAGAAATAAGGGCACCATACAATTGCGTGAGTTAGAAGACACGGCTTTAATTCGCGTCACGGGCTGGTGTGAACCTACGAACTTCGCAAGAAATGAGAAGACCCATAACCCAGCCAGCGTTACATCCTTAACCATTGTCTCTCTGACCTTGTCAACACCCTGTGTTTCTCCCATTATATAAATACTCCCATCATCTAACCCCTCTCTAACCCCTCACCTCCATTTCCCCACCTTCTCTCTCACCTCTCCATTCATTCTTCGATCTCTCATATCTCTAATGGCGAAACGTGTCTTCACGTCGGTGCTGCTCGTCGTTTTTCTCCTGACGTTATCTGCGTCGTTTTCATCTGCCAGGCTATTCAACGGCGTCAATCTCGTGCTCCCCAGCGCTGACAGGGTCTCAGGTGCGGCTGACACGGTGACGGCAGGCCGCGTTAGGTCGTCGGCTATGAGGCTTCGTGCGGTGGCTTTGCGGAGACGCGCCCGGAAATATGGGCCACTGGTTCTTAATATGCTTCCCAAGGGAGGTGTTCCGCCGTCAGGACCAAGCAAAGGAACTAACAACGTCAACAACTAAAGGCCGATTCAGGGGTTTATTATTTATTATGGCTTCTCATTGTTCTTGTTAGTTCTTTCATTTTATTGATTTTATTTCCATGTTTCTATGCTTTTAATTGTTGTTTTCTGTAGAATGTAAATATATACTTCATCTTCTAGTTGTAGGGTTGATATAATTTGCTTAGTTTATACAGATTCAGGTTCTGTCAGATTAGAATTGTTCTGTTCTCTATGTGATGAGATACAAATAAAATAGGAATTCAAATTGGATCTTGGAATATAATATGCATGCCACATTGTTCATTCCAAGCCTTGCTATTCGTTTTATATTTTTATTATTAAAACATATTTGATTGACCTGGGTGATTAATCAATCATTTTGGATGCGTTACTTCTCAATATAATATAAAAATAATTCTTGGAGTCTTAAAAAAATGGGGCTACCTGATAATTTCCAGCTAATGAAAAGACGCTGCGTAGAGGCATGTTTAATACTCTTCCGATCCTAATTATAAGACCCAATTGACTTATTTGAGGAGATTAAGGAAGTAAGTTAAGTTGGTTATTTATAATAAATAAGTGTTGTCATTCTTAAAATATCCTTGCTAATTAAGTATATTGGCTAAAACTATCATTATTAGAAGGATTATCTTGGAAAAAATACATAAATATAAGAGACAAAATGGATTGGGGTCTTATAATTAGGACCAAATAAAAAGTCAAATGGGGTCTTATAATAAAGACCGGAGGAGTATTTATTTCGAATGTTGAAAATTGAAATTGAAACCACGTTAAAAATAAATAATTTATTTGACGTACATGTAAGTGGTTTTCAACCGCCTATTTTTTTGTCGTAGGAAAAAAAAAAAGATTTTATAGGTTTAGCTTTCAGAGCACGAAAGGCATGGCTGAAAATCACACTACTATTTTATTCCAAACCTAAATAAAAAGCTAAATATTTAGATCTCTGAAGTGTTTTTTCCCCTTGGTTTGTGTGTGAGAGAGAGGTTGGGAAGTGGCCGATATAAAGTAAACCAAAGGCTCCTGCATGATTATTTTACAGAAACATTTTGGTCAAATTCAAGAAATTGGAGAATGAAGAATTTTAATATTCTCTAGATTTTGATGTTAGCGGATTAAAATTGACAATAATGATGGTAATCTTCTCTCTCCCCCCCTTTGTTTATGTTGAACTTTAGAGGGGAAGGAAAAAAAGGTAAACTGTACCGATTGACGAAACAGAGCAATATGAGCCAACCACTTGCATACATGGCTCCAAAATAAATGCAGAATAAGAAATTTAAGACGAATGTTAAGATAAAATATAGACGGACCTGACCCAATATCTTAAAGACCCAAATGACAACCTATTTCTATATGTTTAATTCTTTGGTAAAATCAACGGCCAAAAAAAAATCTTTGGTAAAATCAATAGGGGTTGGGTCTAACAGAATAATTAGTTCCCACAATATAACGAACCAAAGTTTGAATCCTCGCTCAAAGAGATGATCACATTTAGTTCCTGACGGTGTCTCGAATAGGACTGACTCTATTAAGAGGATACCTATACTTTAGAAAAAAAACATATTTGATAAAAAATTAGGATTAGTTGCTATTTGAATTATACTATCACTACCTATAAGATCTAATTAATTAATTTGAGAAGATTAATAAAATTACTCAATTGCTTTAAAGTATTTATATTTATTATTTTTTTACAAGTTAATTTTACTCAATTATGAATTGATATATAATTTAATGATGCACATAAATATATTAAAGATATCATGTAATATATGTTATAATTAAATAATTTAATATTTTTTTAATCTTTTTAAATTAACTAACTAGATTTTATATTAAGGACCGAATGTAGCATTATTGCCTTCTTGTTACAACAAATGTTTATTGGTTTTACATCTCTGATCTTCAAGTCTCGTAATAATCCAACCATCCACATTAACTTTGACAAAATACTACCTTTGTCTTGTAAAATGGTTGATAGCTTCTCCTTTTTCTCTGTTTTTTTCATCCCTGTATTATTTTGGAAGCACTGCCATACACTGAGCCAATATGTACACGGCCTCGGCTTGGCCGGTGTCGTCCACAAATTGACCATTCTTCACGGGACTCTTGTCATTTTAAACTTTGCTAAGAAATGAGAACATCCTCTCCCCCCCCACCAAAAAAAAAAAAGCTCTGCCTCAGATTAAATAGCAAGCACTCTAATATCTATATAATTGCCTTTTATTTTGGCGTCATCACTTATTTATCTTAGGATTAATATCCATAATAACTTCAGCCGGATTCTAGGTCTTAAAATATGTGTTAGTACCTCCGGTCTTAAATATAAAAGTTAGTTGACTAATTTGAGTAGATTAAAGAAAGAAGTTAAGTTATTTATTTGTAAAAAATAGATGTTATATTTCTTAAAATATCTTTGCTAATCAAGTATATTGTCTAGAATTATCATTATTAGAAAGACTATTTTAGAAAAAAATAAAAATAAGAAAAAAATGAATTAAAATTTTATATTTAAGATAAAAATTAAATAAAATTTTATATTAAGTAGCAGAGGTAGTGTGTTGTTTTTGACGATGCAATGTCTGTACATGGATTGTGTATACATACATGCGAGCCGCCAGATATGACCAGCGGCACTCGTTGTTATTGACTCTGATTTTCTTAGTTGACCGCCAGATACAAAGGCTAATCATAGACAAAGTCCTCAGAGGCTGAAGCATTTTGGCCTTGTTGCTTGACCGGCTAGTTTCTCGTCGGAACCACATTTCACTTTTCTTTTTCTTTTTCTTTTTTTTGAATAAGACAAAATGATATATATATTTGTATATATGTTTATATATAAGACTGAGGAGAAGAAGCGTTTAAAGGTTACAATAAGATAACCGGCAAATAAACTGCTCAAAATAACTAAGAAAAGAGGGCAAGGAAACAACATGAATAGAATGAGGAGAGAAATTAGATAAAAGAGATAAAACTGAATCAAGAAACTTGGAGCAGTGAATCCGTAGTTTTAAAAGATTAGAGGAGCTCTATAATTGCATCTACATGAAAATTCCTGCAATTCACTTTTCTTTTTTCTACTGGAGAAAATAAAAAGAAAAAAAAAATCCGTGGCATTTGGATTTTCTGGTTTGTCATTCTTTCTATTTTCTCATTAAAATATCTATTCACATGTATTAGTTTTATTGAATGAATTGAATAACGAATTGTATGTCAATGAATATTTAAGTTCTTTCAGAAATATTCTTTTAAGGGGAAATAACTTATTAAAGTTCTCTGTTTTTTTTTTTTTTGGGTGCTGTGGGAAGCAATTAAATTATGGGATGTCGGGCCGTTTTTTTTCTTGTTCAATCGGGCCTTGGGCCTCATCACATGAACTCGAGTAACGGGGAACCTCATTGAAGTAAAATGGGTCTGAAGCCCATGAAAGATGGAAATATAGATCTTTCCGTCAAATTGTTTGGGCACTCCATTGGAACAGGCCCAGAAGAAAAGCACGCACACCAGAAGACCAGGAACGTATTGTTTTTTTGGGTGTGTAAGAGGGCCTAAGGCCCAAAACAAGGAAATCCGTATTCACTATCAGGCCCAAAATCTAAACAATGGGGGAAAATGTTCCCAAAAAAAGAAAGCGGCAACTCCTCTGCAACCTGCCATTCTAGTGAGAGGATGGGAAGAGCAGAGGAGATGATCCATTTCCTACCGTTCTTCTTTCTACTCACAGGCTCATAGCTGGCTGTCGGTGTTCGAATGACTTGGGCGAATTGAAGAACCGCAAGCCAAGCAATTGGGGACCATTTTCTTTTTCGGCCAAAAGGTACAGTTTAATTCAATTGATAAAATTAAAATATTTTCTTATGCTTAATGAATAGTAGGAATATTTTACATTCCATACACTAAAAAAAGGATTTTTTAGCATGGAAATAAGCTGCTACCTCGTGTCTTTAATATAAGAGTTAGTTAGATAACTAATTTTAAAAGATAAAAAATTAATTAAATTGATTAATTGTAATAAATCTGTATTGACTTTTTAAAATTTTCATATTTAATTATGTGCATTAAAATTAATTTTTTTTTGTGGGAATTCTTTACCATTGATAAGAATATTTTAGATAAAACATTATAGATTTGGAGCACAAAATTAATTAAGATTTTATATTTATAACTAAATCTAAGTTTTCAAATAATTCTCATATTAAAAACCGGATGCAGCAATTCATAACACCGTTTCTAAATAATTTCAAGAGAAATTTTGCTTTCCATTCACTTCTGTGTTTTTTTTGGGGGGGGGGGGAATCAAATAAAGCAATCCTTGAAACAATTAAAATCTTATTCACTGTTTTTTTGTTTATAATGAAATGCAAGTTATAGGGATATTTACCGTGATTAATTAATATTCACGAGTCTGTATTAAAATGATAATATAGGGTGACAGAGCCTCTTATAGAGATGTAAAAACAAAATCGCTAAAGTATATTTTTAACTTTTTAGCTTTAGACAAAGTTTCATTTTGGTCCCTTAACTTAAAAAAGTAAAATTCTTTAATCTTAAAACTGTTAACAAAAATGATGATATTAAATTTTTGAATGCTAATAAAACAGTACTAAATGCTAATATATTAAGTTTAATATTCAAAACAACCATGATTATTATAAAAAATTATCATTTAAGACTAATAATTTTAAAGTTAAAAGACTAAAAGTGTACCTTTTAAAGTTAAGAGACTAAACTAAATTTTTACCTAAAGTTAAACAACCAAATATATACTTTAACCCATCACAATGATCTGATAGGCTAAAATTATGCAGACAGCTAGAGATTTGATAGTTAGCTTTTGGGACATCTAATAAAAGGACCAATACCACAAATCAATCGGTCAGGGCAGGAAATATTCTCTAAAAGCATATAAAGGTGACTTGTATATGCTTTGTCAACTTTTAATATGACGTATTTTTGTTTTCAACCAACTCCACAGAATCTAAGCACAAACATAATTCATATAATTAACGGTAAAGTAACAATCTTAATAATTCAGGCAAAAAAAAAAAAAAATCTTAATAATTCAACAAATCATGTGTCAACATTTATAATTGTATAATCCAGGCTTTTACTGTTCATAATTTCCCAACTACGATTATTCCCCGTGCTCTTGTGGCATCTGCAATTTTTCTGCCTCCATAATTGTAGATTTTACTTTTATATTTTTTTTAATATTTTTAGCATTAAACGCCAAAAACAAAATTGAATCATGTTTAATCATCATCGCCATGAAAAGAATCCTGCAGTGCACATGATCATTAATGTGCTCATTACGCTTCTAAACAAATTGATTTATCTTTAGTGGGGCCCTCCCAAAATTGATCCAAAAACAAGAGTTATCCTCTATTTAAAAAAAAATAAAATCCAGAACGATCATTTTTCTTCATCATCTTCTTCCTTTATTTTTTAAGAGACTGGTACCTCAAGGACCCATAATATATAAGACTGAGTCACAAACTTCGTACTGGGGAAAAAAAAAAAGTTTAATTAAGTGTTTAGTGTTAGAGTTAGAAATAATTAGTAATTAATGAGTATTATTAATATTAATATTAATATTAATTTTCAAATGAAATATTTATCCATTATCCAAAAATGATTGGGAAAAAAAAAAAGGCCTGTTGATGACCTGTCACGAAAGAAAAGGACCGTATTTGCAACAGGTTTGTCTGGTTTTTGTCTTCGCTCAGTTCTTGCTCTCAAGTTTATATATTGCTCTGTATCTTCCCGATAATGCAAGCAAGAAGAGTGGATTGAGAAGGTTTGGTGAATTTCATCCATGGCAAAGCTGAAACAGAGCAACTCTGCTTTTGTGTGTCTGGTTATTATCTTCTTCCTCAGTGCTTCCTCTGTTTCAATTTGTGCGCGCGTGGCACCTCTCTTGCAGACCTACGAGAAATCGATCTTCACCTCAGACTTTCACTCCATTTACGACACTTCCAAGTATGGTATACTTCAGCTCAACAACGGTTTGGGTCGGACGCCTCAGATGGGGTTCGTTTCTCACTTTTTCCCTCCGTCTTCCCTGTGCTTTCTATTCTCAAGTTGAAGCCTTGAAGGTTTTCTCCGGGTCATGTCGATTGATTGGAATTATTGATTAGATTTTCTTTCCTTTTTACATGTTTCTCCATTCTTTTTTGTATTTTCATGGTTGTTACCTCTTATTTGCAAAGACCCGCATGCATAAATGCAGTCTATCGCTATTGATTGACTGCGAAATTTATTATTAGGCTGTGGCACTGATACATTGCTTGTGGCTGAAGTTTAATGTTTCTATATAATTTTTTGTTTTAGTTGCAGAAATGTTAATACGGGTCTGTTATGACGATGACTTATGTTACATGATTTGTTTTTGTTTTGCTTTTTGTAGGTGGAATAGCTGGAACTTCTTTGCCTGCAATATTAATGAAACAGTCATTAAGGAGACAGGTTCTTTTTTGGCCTCTGCACAACAGTTTATTTACGCATTCTTTCCATTTTCTTGATAAATTTCTATATACGTGACGGATTTTGGTGTCTCATAAGCAAGAGAAATCTTTTGAGCTGCTGATAAACTAAAGAAATAATGTGCGCGGGACGTAGAGTGTGTGTGTGTGTGTGTGTAAAGAAGCCTGCTAGTTGACTTATCCCAACCATATTGATTGTTTTCGTTGAAAGCCAATTACGAATCTACCCACCTAGTGGTTCCAACCAAGGAACGATGACAGATAGCGAAATATGTAACTGTATAAACAATGAATAAGTGCGCCCCACTTTGGGGGCTGTCAGGACTCTAAATTAAAAAAAATTGTTCAATATGGTGAAGAAGTCTCGTTATTTTTTCTCATAAAGTGACACAAAACGGTGATCACTCATCAAAGGACAGCAACTAAAGTGCATTTCATTCTGAAAATACTCTTTATAAGCATGCATGTGCTTATACGTAATTTCCAACCTGGACTTGTTAAACATAATATCCTTATCTCTTACTTTGTTAAAACAAAGTTTATCTAAGGCTTATTGAAATACAATTACTAGAAAATTGTGAAACTTAATTTTAGTCTGCACATAGACATTAAAGGATAAGAAAGAGTTTTCTTTCTTGCGTTGGGATAGAATAAATTTATAAGAAAGGGAGAAATGACAAATTCTCTTGAAGCTAATGTATTCAGAAGCATTTCCTTTGGCTGGGGGTGGACCTGGCTCCCTTAGTCTACTGTTCTGCCTATGCTTCATATAACTCCTCATTCCTGGTATGACACATACTTACTTGAAAACAATAAATGAGTGAAGGACTTTGTGGATTTTTAATTAAGTTAGAGCTTAAGAGGCTTCAGAGATCACAGGCGCATATTTATCTCATTATGGTACTGTGTAAGATCTGATATTCATGAGTTTGTGTTGTTGGAAATTGTTGCTTTCTTCCTCTCTGTTTAGTTTTGCTATGTATGACTTGAACTTGAACATGTATTTAGTATGCTACCTGTTGCTAGTTTATTTAGAACATATATATATCATGGTTGTACTTGATATTTATATTTACAAATTATGCACACAAGCATTCGTGCCCTGCACTCAGTCGTAAATTTTGTACCAGACCTGAATAATTTCTTCCCTTTTACTTGCTACAGTCTTTGCTTGGACTGTTCAATTAAAGCATAAATCTAGTAATGCACATTTTTGTGAGAATGTTGCCAATGGCATTGCAGAGGAAGAGATGCTTATTTGTTTTTATTTATTTACGTTTTTGAAAATCAAGGAACACTGCACAAAGCCACAAATAAAGCACTTTTTCAGCAAATGATATCCTTTTATTAAACAACTAAATGGTATTATTGATTAAGATGGTGTGTGATATTTTGTCTCACTGATGGAGTGATAATGATAGTTTTGCTTTTACCCTCACCGGTTTGTAACTAACTTTACTGATATGACTTTGTTTATCCAGCTGATGCACTTGTATCAACGGGTTTGGCTGATTTAGGTTATGTGTACATCAACATAGGTATTATTCTAGCATCTTCTCAATGAAACATTATTTTCTAACTCTTGGACTCATTTTGATATTGTTTCCTGTAGATGATTGCTGGTCTTCTGCAGCAAGAAATTCAAAGGTAAGCTGAATCACGTTCCTTTCAAGCAAAATTAAATCAGCAGGAACAATCTTCTAGGCCATCATCCTTCTTTTTATCGTATGACATTGTTCTTTCACTTGGATGTTAAAATAATTGTACCTATTAGCATTTAATGCATCTTGTTAATGTGGCAAACCTTAAAATTGATATAACTATTAAATTACCGTATAGTTAGTTATCTTTAATCCTGAAGTGATGCTTTCCTTAAAGCTCTCTTTCCCTCTCAATTACAAGAGTCACTAGGCCTTGAATGACGGGAGCAGGGAATAATTTCTTCACACTTTAATCGCTCATCTGTGCTCCGTAGTGGCAGATCCTGACGGTTAATGAAGTAGCAAAGCTTGTACACACTCTGTTCATCTTCCATGTGAATGAAAGATCTGATAGAACCTTCAAGCTCTCTGTCCCTCTCAATTACAAGAGTCACTAGGCCTTGAATGACGGGAGCAGGGAATAATTTCTTTATACTTTAATCGCTCATCTGTGCTCCGTAGTGGCAGATCCTGATGGTTAATAAAGTAGCAAAGCTTGTACACACTCTGTTCATCTTCCATGTGAATGAAAGATCTGATAGAACCTTTGGATAATTTTGATATTATTTAAGTAAGAAGACAGCAAAAATTCTCCACTGTTTCAGTGAAAAAGGCTGATCTATGAAACAACAGCAGAATGGACCATAAACATTACTGTTAATAGAGAAAATTACAAAAGAAACAGATGGAACAGTAGAGATGTTTTCCTAGCTCAAGAGGCTTGGGGATCTCCAAGCAAACCTTCCATGAATCTTCGTACTCTGCCTCCAGCCTTCCTTTTGGGGGGGGGGGGCGATATTATTCCTTCCAACAAACTCATACTCTCTCTTCCGCCTCACCAACCCTCAAACGGCTTGATGAGGTGAGTTAATGATATTCATGCCCTGATTTTCCCTTCCCACCACCTCATCCATTTTCCCCTTTAGGAATATTTCAGAATTTCAGAATACCATTAATGTTGGTGTTAGTTGGATTCCCAGCCTTGGGCCCATCTGATTCTTATGGCTTTACATAAATATTTGTTTACTTCTTACGTTGTTTGTTTGGTTCTGTAGGGTCAACTGGTCCCTGATCCTAAGACTTTTCCATCAGGAATCAAAGCTCTTGCAGATTATGTACACAAAAAGGGGCTTAAGCTTGGTATATATTCTGATGCAGGGTACGATGGATAATATAATGAAACCTAGCCAGATGTTTGAAAAATCCATTCCAGAATTAAACATGCTCATATTGAATGTGTCCAAGTGACTTTTAATTACCTGCTTAATATTCTTTTTCTTGGTATTAGGGTATTTACATGTCAAGTCCGACCAGGATCACTTTTCCATGAAGTTGATGATGCAGACACATTTGCCTCTTGGGTTAGTTACCATTATCTCATGTTATGATAGCAAACTAGAACTGATATAAATTAGTTTTGTATCATCACATAATTTTTAGGATTCATGTGCTGGTATGTGAGCACACTTGTGTGAAAGAAAAACAGTAGCTGAGAGTTGAAATTGAAGTTCCCATTAGAACCATTGTGAAACCCAAATTTGGATCAGTTCAGGTTTGGTTGTCATGATGGCCTTTGGGTTAATGCAAAATCCAAAGGTTGGTTTTGTGTTGTTCTATGCATGTATTTATATTAAGTGGCACACAATCAGAGCCACAGCATTAATTCAGAATGTCATAAAGAAATAATCAAGTCATTCCTGAAATTTGTTGTCATCATTTGATGTTCCTAACTAGGACATGTGAACATTATTCCTTCAAAAATGTTGAAAGAGTAGTTTCATGCTCAAAGATAGACTGAGCTTGAACGCCTATCTTGAGGTGCTTCTGGAGTCATTCTTTTGTAGCTAGACATTTCATTTGCATTGGTGATGTTTTGAGTCAATAGATGTTATTTGGTCCCCAAAAAAAAAAAAAAAATCAATAGATGTTATGTTTCCATCATTGCATCATTTTGGTTCACTTCTTTTACCAGGATATAGATTATTTGAAGTATGACAACTGCTACAATCTGGGCATCCCGCCAAAAAAAAGGTATCTGCAGTCTAAGGTAGTTGCTAACGAAGCAACGCTTAGCACGTGTGAATTGATAGTGTTTCCCTATGTTTCCAGATACCCACCAATGCGTGATGCCCTGAATGCATCTGGACGTGCAATTTTCTATTCACTATGTGAATGGTATTCAGCTGTCTGTTCTATCGTTTGATATTTGTTGGTTTTGACAATTGATTTTTCATGCATCTTTTTTCTTTTTGTTCTACAGGGGTGTCGATGACCCTGCTTTATGGGCAGGCAAGGTTGGAAACAGTTGGCGCACAACTGATGACATCAATGATTCATGGGTCAGGTGAAAACTCGGGACTTTGACTAATAGGTGGTGAAGAAATTTAGTTTGGTACAAAGGCACTTTAGATAATTGCGGCTAACTGGAAATAAAAATTATCTTGGACGTTAGCTTGATTCCCTTGATTGCTGCCTTTTTAAATTATATTGGGATTGTTTTCTATCAAATGCTGTTCCAGTAATATGCTGACAAAGTGCGTGTGGAAGATGTGATATCGGAATTACTGGGTAGTACATTGTAATCTAAAAAGAGTTCATTCAATCATCAGGCACCTATTATAATACTATATCTAAAAGGAGAGCCCTTTATATAGTAATAGGGCTGTAACACTGGGAATTTTAAATTATCGGGTGAATATGGTTAGTAATTTGAAATTTAGTGTTTTCTGAAATATGAATTTTACTTATTCCGAATAATCTTGTCATCTACGTTAAGGTTTGCTATTGTAGTCAACCTAAGACCGATCAGATCATCAGACTTTCCTTATTGAGTAGTGACACTGTAATAAGTTGGAGATAGAACAAGTTGATTAAGTGAATTTGTTAGTAGAGGGAATAAGGAGGTTGTTATATTCAGTTTTGTTAACTGATATACATATTAGTGGAAGTTAAATAAGCTTTTTAGTGAATCATTTCTTATGTAAGACTTTGACATGCCTCTTGGTACGAGAGCCAATTGATCTGAGAGGATTATGAAGGACACACGCAGTCAAGATTGTGTTGGAGAAATATAATAGGGGCTTGAGAAAACTAGAGAGAACATTCACCAGTTGCGAGGGCCTGTATTGGTTATGGCTGTGACTATTTATGATTAAAGGATATACAGAATCACCGTGGTAGAAATGGCACTACCATAGAGTTGGCGTTGCATTTTTTTTCTAATTTCTGGAATATGGTATTTCAACGTCTATAACAAAATTCAGGATGACTAATATAAATACTTGATGCAATCCCACTGAAAGTATGTATTTATGTGATGAAAATTATTCTCGGATGAGAATAACAGCAAATCTTATCCTACTAAGTGGGCAATATACCATTCATTGAAAGATCTTGATTGATGACTTCGTTAAGTGTCTTGGTCCCGCTCTACATCTCTTTATAGGGCTAAAGACTATCTGCTCCCCTCTCTGGCATCTCCGTTGGCCTTCTTTGCACATAACAAACCATCTTAAATAACGCCTTCCTCCATTTCAACCTCCTAGTTTGTAGTATCGATCCCAAATGCTTTGCCCTTTGTGTTATGGACTTTGTGATAACGCTCATGATAATTTTATGTCTCATCCCATATCAATAACAAGCTTTGTCATTGGATTTAATATATAAATTGTTATTATTCATGTTACAACCATGGAAAACTATACATCAATAGCAACAATTTTCTGACAAGGTGGCTGTACACGGATAAAAAATGGTTTTCTTGTCCAGCATGACAACTATTGCTGATCTGAATGACAAGTGGGCAGCTTATGCTGGTCCTGGAGGATGGAATGGTAAAATTTATGTATTTTTCTAGTAATTTCTGTAAACCAGTTGATAACCATTCTTGTTTATTCTGCATGTTATCTCTCTTGGACAGACCCAGATATGCTGGAAGTTGGCAATGGTGGCATGACTTTCCCGGAATACCGTAGTCACTTTAGCATCTGGGCATTAATGAAGGTGTTGCTTTTAAGTTCTGTTGTTCTTTTTCCTTCCCCTTCTCTGTCACTTCAATTGCTTTGTTCATGGATTGTTGTATATGACCAAATGGTTTTAGTAATCACCTTCTTGTCATATAGTATTTTCCATTCCATTTGTTGCATGGGCAGGAAAGTTTACTGCTGGGTAACATTTTCTTTTACAATCTGATCAGTTTGAGATTGTTAACTAGTTTATCTATGACATGAAGGTAATCCTTTATGTTTACCTTTGTTATTTGTGGCCGTAATTTGTCGAAAGCCAACCATCGAGAAACTTGAAGTGGTCACAATAGATGACACAAACTATGGGCCATAGCCATGTCTTCTCAGTTGTCAAGATTGTGAACTTGTGAATGCAGGCTCCCTTGTTAATTGGATCTGATTTGAGAAGTATGAGTCAGGAAACATATTTGATTTTCAGCAATAGAGAAGTTATTGACTTAAACCAAGGTAGCAACAATCCTTCCCTTTTTCTGAGCCATCATACTATGTGTAATGCTTCTTAATCTTTTTTGGTGGTTATGTTGTATCTTTTTTTTTCCCCCTTTCCCAATCATTTATCTCATTCAGGAATTTGTGGTAGGTAATTGTATTATATTCCTATGCAGATTCACTTGGAGTTCAGGGGAGGAAGGTTCAAGTTTCTGGAAAGATGGTTGCTGTCAGGTCATATCTTTTGCACTACCTCTTACTGCATTTGTGCAATGAAGCCCGGGTTATTTTATCCCTGTTTCTTCTGCTTCTTGTGATCATGATGATTAATTGTTCCAATGGTGTCTGTCCAAATCCAGGAGTTCACACGCTTGATGCCTCTTCATCTTGGAGGTTGATTAATATGGCTTTCATTTAACTGAAAAATAGAATACGAAGCTCCTAGTCTTAGATGCTCCCTTTAAAAGAATGGATTGAGAACTCCTAGATAATTGTGATGCACCAGTTTGATGTT